TAGTTCCTCAGCAGGAAGGAAGCAAGGAATCCTCAGAGTTGAAAATTTTAAGTTCTGTAGCAGATGTAAATTGGCAAAATACTTCCTGGTGAGGATAAACTAAATAAATAAGGGAGTACTAGTCTCCTTTTTGGGTAAGCTGGGAGCTCTGGTGGCCTGGTAGGTAAGGAGTTGTGCTGGTAACCAAAGGCAGGTGGTTACAATCCACCGTCTTCTCCAACGTAAAAAGATGGGCAGTTTACAGCCTCTGCAAACTTTCTGGAGGGTCAGCTATGAGTTGGTTTTGACTTGATGGCAAGAAGATATTTTATGTTTGTTTTAATGGTAAGGACAAGAATACGAATACACAGAGATGAGTGTGTGTATGGTATATGTGTTACTCTGTGTGTGTGTGTGTGTGTACAGATATACACACACATACATAAAATGCAAAAGAAACATGGTGTCTGTAAGTTTTTTTGCTTTAATTGGAAAAGAAATTTTTAAAACATCATTTGAAGTATACTCTGAGCCACATAAGGACTAATCAAATGTTTATTCCTCCAAAGTTCTGCAGCACTCTGGGTGGATTGACAGTGATACAGAGTGCTCACCCACTCTGCCAATGCCACGCATATGCTGGCCTACTGATCTTGTTATTCAGATGCAGATGTTAAACTGCAAATTGCCACACCCAGAGGCCTGAGGGCCCCAACCTCTACATGGCTATGGATGTCACAAGTGCATAGTGATCACCTTCTCTAAAAGTAGCTAGAGTTTGAGCTTTTGCAAACGCTTAGAAGCAAAGCAACTCTTAATAAAATATGACACTAGTGAGAATATTTTTCAGCCCTGTTGGCATGATTAAATAAATTTTATAAGGACTCTCTGTGATTTGTTAAAGTATTCCTAATACTTTCATCTTAAATGTTTTCAAGTATATAACAGTGAAATGAAATAATATATTCTAATAAATTCTGATGGCATCAGATTAGAACATTTTTGATTGCCACAAATTTACGTGAATTTAAAAAATGTATCATCTTGCTTATTTTTAAAAAGTGCCTAAAATGTATAGATGATAAACTGTTATTTAAAATAAAAAAGACTGCAATTTCTGATTTTGGTCTCTTTCTACTTAATAAGTTGCATTAGTAAAAATCATATCAAGTAGCAAAAATCACTCGTTTTGAGGAATACATAAATGCAGTATTTAGTTACATGAACAATGAACAAAAAAGTAAAACATAATTTCTAGACAGTGATCTGTTTGTAGATAAATGATCTGTTATCTTGAAATCTTGGCTCTAAATGAAAAAGACTTACCAGTGCATAGTACAAAAAGTTCTATGTAAATGACTTTACAGCTTCCTGAGGATATGTAGTCATTTAAGACAAATATGAAGTCTTTCTCAAAACTAATTTTTTTTTTTAAAAAAAAAAGATTAAATAAGAATTTGAAAAAAAAGTTGACACAAACACTTTTTCTGGGGGGGGGGTCCTTCTTTCTAGAGTCAGTATGACTCAGTTGAATCTTGACTTTTCTGCTAATTTTCTGACCCTAATAAAAACAAGATTGCTGATCTTCAGTTTCCTTTTTGGGAAAATGAGGACGGTGAAGATGAAATGAGCTCATGGGGCATTCTGAATGCATAAGGATGACTAGTGAATTCTACAAGTGGAGGTATACTTATTTATTCTATAGACTGCAAAAGGAAGGGTGGCACTGATAAAATCTTGCTCAAAGACATTTATGATGATGGTAAGCTGCTGATACAGACATTTCAACCTTCACGCATATAGAAAACCAACCTTAAAATGTGAAAGTTTAATATGGCACCAGTCTATAGTTGTTACTTTTGTCTAGATAAAGACATGATCTTAGCCTCACCAATTTTGCAGGTGAAGCCGATACGTCTAATGGACATGGAGAGAGAAACACTGGTTAGCAGCTGTTGTTCGAAAACACAGCCCATCTCCAATTTCTAAGTTTAAAGATACACTTGTTCTTATCAATCAAAGTAAACCCTCTCTTGTCCTGTAGATTTAATCCCAAACATGCAAAAAGGCAGTAAAAGAGTCACCTTGTGTTCCTTTAGAAACTCAGACTGCTGGAAGTCTGAGAAAGCATAAAGATGGTGGACTGCTCAACAGAAAGGCACTGCTGTTTAGTCTGCTAGTCCCAGAAGATTCAGGAGGGGCCCATGCACATCAGTTATGTTTAAACAAGGCAGTAGTTATTTAGGCAAAGCAGGATGGAAGACAAAAGGAAATGAGGAAAGGGAAAAGAGAAACAACACAAGGTGTTAAGTGCAGTTAAAAGCTAAAACATTCTATTGCATATTAATGCTGATTACACTAAGCAAACAGACACTGGCATTGTTAAGATGAAAATAATCATTTGTTTATATCCTAACAATGACATTGCCAAACTCTAACCCAGCATTATGCCTCTTGAGGTTTGGTTTCTGTTAGCTTTGAATAATGCTTACTCTGGACTCTCATGAAATATAAAGAAAGGTCTATAAGAGTAATAAGCCATAACTGGCTACTCTGTTGTGTGACAAGGGGTACTGTGATCAAATATAGTTTGGGCACACAGCAATTATAGAAACTGCTTTTGAAAACTGCCTGTACCTTAGCATTATAAAGGTAGGTACAAGTCCTATGGTAAGATGTCCTTAAACAACACTGAACAATATAGTTCATGAACTTACTTGTGGCACTGTTCTACACCTATAATATCTACGGATAGGTGCTTCACAGAGTACACTTTCAGATGTACTGTTCTCCCACTGCAAGGCTGACCCATCTTACACCAGTCTCTCTTGGAGTCAAACCTACAACCCTGCACTGCCTTTTCCCACTGTGCATGTCCTGAACATTGACTTCTACCATGACTGAAAAAGATCTCACTTGATAACCTAGGGTTTTTAAAAAATGGATTAAAACAAAAAAGGCATGGGATGCTACTCTGTGGGAGAGAAGGGTGGGGTTTAATAAACTTCTTCATTAAAGGATAATGGGGCAGCTGAGTCCCAGGCATACTCCCAGGATTTCTGGCTTTCAACATCCTGACACCAAAACCTATTTTCATTCTGACTGCTCAGCAGAGAAACTCTTTACCCCCTGGACAGAAGACCTTCAGCAGAGCCATTCCCGGGGCCATTATAATTTCCTGCAAGGCAGTGTGAAATTTGTATTTTTGCTACTTTTGATAAAAGGTAGAAGGAGCTATAGTTATTGAAAAAGATTCTTATACACTTGTTTAAAATTGATAAGTAAAAATTACAGTAAAATTCTATGTGCATATATTTTTTTCATTACTGAGAAGATGACTTGAGTTTTCATAAACACTGATTTTAAAACCTATGGCAGGAGGCATAAAGATGGGAAATGCTTAGGAACTTGGTGGCACTGGGTTTTGACATTTTGAGTTAGGACAAAAGCTCTAAGGCTTACAAACAAGGATTCAATTAAAACTGTTTGGAGTCAATGACAGACAGGGCACATGCATTAACATGTACTATATCTATTCTAACCCCAACCCAGGGCTACCTATTTTCTACCACAAACACTGGCCAACGACACTCGGATTTTAGGCCACTGATATCATCTGAAGGGAACTTGGGTGGTGTAGTCTGTGGCAAGTTGCGTGGCTAACCCAAAGGCCACACCGCTTTGGGGATTTGAATCCAACAGTGGCTGTAAGGGAGAAAAACAGGCAATCTCTTCCTGTGTGATTTACAGCCTCAGGAACACAATGAAGTGTCAGCTAGGAGTCAGTACTGCTTCGAAGGCAATGAGAAATGAGAAAGAACATCAAAGTTCTAAAAAGGGAATAAATATTAGCTTTAAAATACACTAATTGCCCAACCAAGTAGCTGCCATTTGTCTCTTCTGTTTTACACTCATCTTTTCTTTCTCCTCATCCTTTTTCTTATTTTCATTGTTCCCTTTACCGTGAATAATCATCCTATGTCCTAGAAGGAAAAACACCTATCTTACAGGATCAATTACTGCGGTGGCTTCATCCCTTGGATCCTTTCTTCATTTTTTATTGAGGTTCTGGGCATCAGTGGGAGTAAACATTGACTGGGGACCTTGTTGAAAATACAACTCTGAAGGTCCTGTTACCATAGAACAAATACAAATTTTGGGGGATAGGACTTCAAAATAGAAATTTTTAATAAACTCTGAGTGACAGCAGCACGGGTGGGCCGGAGGCCAAAATGTAAGCAAAAACTATTATTTTGCCCTCAATCAATGACCAGAACTCCTGGTAAAACAGCAAGACAGGAGGGAGAGAAAAGGAAAATGCCCTCTCTGAAGGGTTAAGTCGTTACACAGATCGTCCCAGCATGAAGGATGAGGGATGTCATTCTTCTCTACCAGAGTCTACTTAGTCAGAAGATGATGAAGCTCCCACTCAATCTTCCATAGAAGGGTGTCAGGAGCATGTGCAGATATGAAAGGATATAGCTCATCTTCCAAACACAGGTGAGATGCAAAATAATCACAGAAAGTATTTTGTGTCACCTGTTTAATGCCCTATACCACCTTAAGCATTTAGTATATGCCTTTTTTTTCTTGAAACCAGAATTCAGTGTGTTGGCCATGATTCTGGGAGGGTAGAAAATAAGTAACCCTATCAATAAACAGTATTTCTGAATATAAATGATACAAAATTTGCACAACATTCATAACCTTAAAGTTACTTGATTTATTCTTTATGGTATTAATTAATAAGACATTAAGTTTTACTTACATAGTGTTTTTATTTAATATTGGCCTAAATTTTCTCTTATTCTTTTCATTTCCGTTGGCCAACTATTTAGGTTTGAAGAATTTTACCTAATTTACAGTTTTAAATAATTTATCAGTATGCAATTTACAAGTAATACTTTGGCTAATCACTTTTTTTATGAAGCCCAAGTCTTCCAGACACTCTTTTACAATTATTATTTCCCAGTCTTAAATCTGGGAACTGAGAGCTTGGCTGGGGAGGAGCATCGCTGTACCTGGATTCTTTCTGTTGCAGTGGGCCACAACTGCCTACATAAGACCTTTTTGAGAACGTCTGGAAGAAGGCTCACAGTAATCAGCAGAATAATGCTCAGCCACGCAGGACCACTAGACAACATCTGTATAAACACATAGTACATCCTTTGATAACTGAGGAATGGCCTGGAATATGAAAAGAAAAAAGAAAGGATAAATTAATCATTTAGAAATCATCAGGAAAAACACTGAAAATTACATGAGGATGCTATTTGTTGTGGTGAATTTACTACTGAAAAGTCATTTTTGCGGGGCCCATGTGACAAGGCATTTACAGTTTGTCTGTGTTTTAGCTTATTTTTTTTTTTAAATCTTAAAATTTCTTCTAGTACTGAGGAATTATGAATAGGAAAAAAGAAGGAAGTCTATGAAGTCATCCTAAGGAAATATAAACCTCTGAAGTTCAGGAATAAAGGGGGAAATAACTGAAAACGTTAAGATACTCAATTTTATTCCACCCTAAAATCACAAACTAATCAAGTGTTATTAACGTGAAAAAGATGGGCAAAAGTTCTGATACGTACAATTACCATTAGCTACCTAAAGCTTATGCCACAAAAATATTTAAGAATCTTCTACAGAAATATAGGATTAAAAAATGAATTCTATACTAAGCAAATTTATAGCTCAAAGGAAATATCCTTATTGGCTTCATGAGAGAAGCTGGAAAAGATGGAGGAAGCAATGGTTCAGTGTTGAAATGGAAGCATACAAGTTTATTTTTCATACACTTTCCCAATGAACATTTATTGATTACCTTCTATGTGTTAGACACTAGGAACCATATTAGACATGGCGCTCTTCCCGGCGTGAAAAAAGTTCTATTGAGAATTAAGAGTACCAAGGAGAAGGGGAGCTCTGGTGGCCTAGTGGCAAGGCCCTGCAACTACAATCCCAGAGGTGCACGGTTCGAATCCACCAGATGCTCTGCCGGGGAAGGAGGGACAATTTCCTCCTGTACCAGTCAGATCTGATTTGACGGTACACTCACACAAAAATAATAAAAATTTTAAAAAAAATTAAAAAAGAAAAAAAAGAGTACCAAGGACAAAATGAAAATACTCCACAGTGAATTCAATGATAATGGTAAACCCAGAGCCCCAAGGAAGTAACAAGATGAACCAAAAACTCTTAGAAAAGCATCCTGGGAGAGGTGAAAATGTAAATGATTTATCACTAAGTTGTAATATATGCAAATTATTTCTAATCTCTACACATGAACAACTGTCAAACTTTACTTCATTGGAGGTATGACAGCCAGGGATAGAGAAGCCCTAAATATAACATATCTCAGTCGGTTCCTGTATTAAAATTCTACAAAACAGGATGTCAAACAAAACAAAAAACAAACAAACAAACAAAAACAAAACAAAAACATCTCCTAGGTCCCAGTGAGGTTTTCCGGAGAAAATCTTCTTCTTCCTACTTAGAAAGAGTGTTTGGTGCTCGCTTCGGCAGCACATATACTAAAATTGGAACGATACAGAGAAGATTAGCATGGCCCCTGCGCAAGGATGACACGCAAATTCGTGAAGCGTTCCATTTTTAAAAAAAAAAAAAAAAAAAAAAAAGAAAAAGTGTTTGGAAGTCCAGCAGGTTCTTTGGTTTTAGACAGGGTTGTCGCCTAGTTTTTCTGTATTTGGGTGCTCTGGAACGCTAGTGGGTAGTGTTTTGCTGACAACCCAAAGGAAGTGGGCTTGAATCTACCAGCTGCTCCACGGGAGAAAGATGGGTGGCCTCCCATGTGAAGTTCTGTTGTTTTATTATCTGCCACTGAGTTGGAACTGACTCATAGGTGATGCTCCAGCAGGTTTTCAGAGGCGGTAAACTGCACAAGTAAAGGTTGCCTATCCTTCTCTCACAGAGCGGCAGCTGGTGGATTTGAACTGTATGCCTTTAAAATTATAGTGCAGATTCTGAGCACTAGGCCACCAGAGTTCCCTCCCAAATGATTTACAGCCTTGAAAACTGGTATGAGCTGGTTCTGAAGGCAAGTTTTGAGTTTTTTAAAAGAATTAGGTAATACAGCCATATGGCCACTAGGGGTCACCAACTGAACGAATAAATAGGAATGGTTACTAGGAACACCCACTATTACCTACAGAAATTGAAGCAGCATCAAAGCCCATGAACTGTGATGTGGGAAAAGAATATGGAATATATCTTGGATTGCTAAAAGAACACACATAATTTTTTTTGAGGCAGTGCAGCCAGAAATCTCTTCAGATGTTAGAAGTGAGAATGATGAGAATTTGTCACATATACTTTGGGCAGGTTATCAGGAGGGGCCAGTCTTTGGAAAAATACATCACGTCTTGAAATGCAGTGTGTCAATAATGGAGAGGAAAACCTTTAGCCAGATGCACTCACACAGTGCTTGCAATCACGCCCTTAAGGACAACAGAGATTGTGAGGCTGGCACAGGATTGTGCAGGTTTTGTCCTGTTGTGAACGGGGCTGCCATTAGCTGGAGATGATTCCACTGCACATAACAATAACAATAGTCACTGGGTCGAATAGTCCTTGGCAAGGCTGCATATCTTTATGCAAGCAGACTGCCTCATCTTTCTCTCCCAGAGCAGCTGGTGGGTTTGAAGTACCAAACTTTTCTCATTAGTTTTTGTCTCCCCCTTACAAGCTGTTTACTACATTTCATATATTCTTGATACTGTAGATAAAAGGCAACAAGAATATTGCTTCTGGCCTCAAGACTAGAAGTCAGATTAGGACAAGGCAAACACATAAAGCTGAAGGAGATACTCATTCTCAGGTTCAATGTCCTAGCTTACTTTACCTTAGCTCGAACTTTATTTAAGTCTTATGGGAAAGTGAGAAATTGAAATTATTACAATAGTCTCTAAAGTAGTCTTCCTGGTTTGTTTTTGTACTCACCAGTTCATTTTCGACACAGCAGCTACAACGATCTTTTTTAAAGCATAATCTGATTCTGGTCACTCAAGACCCAGTACAACTGGCTCCTATTTAATTGACTTGATCTCATTCCATGAGGCTAGCAACTACCCACTTAAACTTGACATCTTTCAAACCTACCAAGTACTTTCCTGCCTCAGAGCTTTTGCACCTGACATTACCTCAGTCTAAACAAAGGCCACCTTCCTCAGGAGCTGGGCTGTCCAGGCTCAACATTTTAGTTCCAGTGACTGTAATTGGAAGACCTTAATTCTATCATCAGTAATATATGGAAAATAGAGTTGTAATGAAAAGAAAATGAGATACAACATGCAAAATACTTAGGCAAGTGTATCATTTTAGTAAGCATTTAATAGCTAGCTCCTATTCCATGGAGTTCCTGGTGGCACGGTCAAGCATGAGCCACGAGAGAGAATGGCAGTCCTCAAACTCCCCAGAGGTGCTTTGGAATAAAGGCTGGAAATTTGCTTCCGTTAGGTCACAGCTGAGAAAATCCTACACACTTGTTCTCCTCTATATCACGAGTAAAACCAGGAGTGAAAACCAACTCAATGGTAAGTGGTTTAAAAAAATTTTTTATATATTATTGGGATTCTTTTCTTGCTGGTCTTCCTTTTTAAAGAATCATCTTCAAAATTCCATATCAGACTTGTCGATGTGAAACAGGTTCTTTCTTCTCCATTATATTCTTGTCTGTTCCTCTATTTGATTTAGGACAATTATTTTACTTTAGTATTATTCAGCATTTATCTCTTCCATTGAGGCTATCAACTAGAAAACCAGATATTATAACTTGTCTTGTTTCCCATATTGTATCCCCATAATTGAGCACAAAGTACAGCACACAGCAGACATTTAACAAGTACGTTCACAAATGAATGAGATTATTGGTACAGTACATGGTTTCTGAGTCCTTGATGGATTATTAAAATAATTACATAATATTTATTAAATTCTTACCATATAATTCCTCCCCAGAGTAAGGAAAAGACAATGTAGAATAACAATGAACCCCAGATGACAAAATGGTTTATCCAAGTCCAGTAGTGAGTATCTAATGCAAGCTAAAAGAAGGGAGAAAAAAAAGAGAGAAAATTATTAATGTAGGTTTGTTACTATATAGGCAATTCAGCACATATCTTGATGATTAGGATAAAAAGCAGAAAATGAAAAAGCAAAGTAAAACACACACACACAACACACACACTCTCTCTCTTCCCTTCACCTTAATTTTATCTGAAGTCCCAACATACTTGGGAGAAACAAAACAAAATTTTACATTCCAGTGCAGAAAATATATGCCTTTCTAACAACAATATATTCATGGAGCAATGGTGTCTCTTTGGAGACTAAGGTGCGTCTGATACAGGCCATGGTCTTCACAATCAACTGTTATGCATCAGAGAGTTGGACAATGACCAAGGAGGATAGAAGGAGAATTGATGCCTTTGAGCTGTGGTGCTGGAGAAGAGTATTGAGAATACCATGGACTGCTAGGAAAACAAACAGATTTGTCCTGGAAAGGGTTAAACCGGGTGGCTCCTTGGAGGCAAGGATTCTGAGGCTCCGTCTAACACACTTTGGACATGTTGTGAGGAGAGACCGGTCCTTGGAGAGGGACATCATGCTTGGGAGGGTGGAGGGACAGCGCAGGAGAGGAAGGCCCTCTATGAGGTGGATTGATTCAGTGACTGGGATAATTGGGATGGAAGTGTCAGAGACAGTGCGATTGGCACAGGACAGAGCGGAGTTTAGGGCTGTTGTACATGGGGTCGCTATGAGTCGCAGGTGACTCGACGGCACATAACAACAACAACAACATTCTTAAATCTTCATTCAGATTCTAGAGGGAAATAGAGCCACAGACATACTTTTCACAATGAGTGAGCTCAACAATTATAGTTTTAGTCATCTGTTTATATTACTTCATAAAATTAGTTTCAGAATTTTTTTGAATCACATTTTAAGACTAGTCTGATAGGTTTCAGAACTTTCATAATGGTATCTTATATAGAATGTGAGACATGAAAAGAGCTGAGTTTTTCCAATATATTAATTGATTTCAATTTATTTCTATTTGGAGTTGGGCTGTATGGCGTTTAAAATTCTAATCTAAATCATTTATATAGAAGGATTCACTCCTTGGTTATTTTCTGAAAAATTCTGCAAGTTCGCATATTGAGTTGCTCAGATCTACTGTGATACTGCACTTTGACATTTAAATGCCAGGAGGATTAAACTACAAGGAAGTTAACAGGCTCCTGCCTTGGTTCTATCTAGTTTTGGCTTCTAGCTTTGGAATGGATTTACTGAGTTCAGAGTTAACGTGGTCCACATGTAGCAGGGATCAACTGTGGCCAGAAGATGAAGCATCAAGATGAAGTAACTTACCTTAAGGGTGACTGTGAAGACCATCACGGTGAATACCAGTGTCCCAAAGGTCCAGTTTCCAAATATCTGTTTGGGTAAAAATAGTTCAAGCAATCTTTTCTTAATATATATTTTCCCTCTTTCACAATCAAAACAAGAGGCTAAAGAACAGATATTGTCCTTGTATGCCCAAACTTCAAAACCCAAAGATAGAATACCTTTTGTTATTACTAAAATGAAGATGGCCGCAAATATTCTGGAGCACAGCAAGAGTCCTTAGTTTCTACCCTCAATACCTCTCATTGACAACTAAGTTACTGATTTATTCAGTGCCTCCTACCTACACTGATGTTATTATTCTCCTGTGAAACTGATTCTGCTCCATATTCTCACACTGCAACATACATTAGCACTAATAGCTCAAACTGAGAAAAGTAACAAAAACTCCCAACAACTAAGATTTAAATATGTACAATTTAAACTGATACATTCTCACCTCTTTTTTCCATTTGAGGCTTTACATAGAAGATACATTTACCTGGTTACCTAGATATACCTTCTATAATGTATTTTAGAATAGATAAACTCAAGAAATTGCTTTTATCCATCCTTATCTAAACCTACTCAAATACCCGCCTGATAATCAAGGGATTAAACTGTCAAAATAATTTTGTTAGTAGACAGCACAGAAAGTAAACATGCTAAATACAGGTGAGATAAGGATAAGACGATAACATAAGGATAGGATTTTCCCCTAGAAAAGCACAGGAAAGGGAAGAAGGGAAGACAGACAAGACAGGACCCCAAACAACCAGTGCGATGGCCAGAGTCACAGATAATCGAAAAATTCAACTGAGGACACGGACCCTACATAGGGCAGGGGAAAAAGCCACGAGAAAGGGCGATGAATCAAGCCGGGATTATAAGAGCTCCATTTGCTCCCATCTTAGGGACCTTGGCAGAATGCAACAAGGAAAATGGTGATTTGGGGGAGGCATATACATGACTCAAAATTCATGGAAACAACAATATATTTCTCTACTGTAGAGAAAACACACACACACACTCACACAATTTACAATTAAGACTTCTTTCGGGGGGAAAAATCAGTACTGAAAATTTCATTTTACAAAAAATTAGTTTCTTTGAGAAAATTTCTATTTCTTTGAGAAGATTTCTATATTATGTAAGAATGGATCCATTTTCAGTTTATCAGATTCTGAGAACTGTTCCTGTCAAGAGAATTTCCCTGTTATTTCTTTAAAAATAAAGCTTTATTTCACAAAGAATTAGAAAGCTAGAATAAAATAACTTTCCTTTATAGCTAGCTGGCTTTTAACCACAGAAATATTTTTTTAAAACTTATATAATTCAATATAGGTGAAAGAGCAGGGTACACATTTTTTTTTTATATATATATATTTAGTGAGGCAAGAACTTAATGTCAGGATTTATAAGAAAACATTAAGATTTTCTGTGACAAACATTAACTCAAGAACCCTAATAATTTGCCTTTTTTACTTTATTCTTCATTGTAACTGGGGTGTCAGAACCCTTGAAAACTGGCTTTTCTAGTCATTGTGTTAGTCCCTGCTGGGAGTGGGGCATGGTCTCCAGCAATCTTAACTGTGGACACTTGGTCTTGCAAATCAACAGCTGTGAGACCAATACAAGAGAGTGCTTTCTACCCTGTGGGAGGTGGTGATAGCGTGGGAAAACTTGTGAAGAGACTGTAGCACTGTTGTGAAGAGATTGTGGTAAGGTGTAACCAGAGGAATCCAGGAAATAAAGGCCACAGTTAAAAGTTTTACTTGCTGGATGATTGAATGAAAATCTGACTTTTAACTGCTCTGAGATAAAGTTTGCTTGATGACTGAGGAAACCAGAGACTTCTTATAATTGTGCTGCTGAACTGAACCTGGACCTTTACTAACTGAGGAATTGTGCCTTGTGAATTTGGCTTGGGACTGCTGGACTAAACCCAAACCTGCATTGTGAGATATTCCTTGCCTCCTCCACTCTCCAACCTATTTCCCTAATAAGCCCCATAATTGTGAGTCAAGTCTGTGGTCTTGCAATGAACATCAGACCCAATGAAAATTGGTGCAGAAGCATGTGAGGTGGCATGTCTGAATATGTAGCTATTTGTATGGTGCTATGAACATTATTAAGGGGGACAGCTCCCCTTTACAAAATTGGTAGAAGTCAGACTTGGCTACCCCCACAATGCCTCTCCTCCTTTTGCAGTAATCAAAACTGGGTGTCTTTACTCTGGCTTGGAAGTATCAGGCCAACAAATTTTTCCCAAGGGAAAAGGTTTTTCTAGACAAGTATGTCTACCCAAGAACCATTAGCTGCCAAACTCCACAATGAAGTTCTAATTTGTTTAGAACCAAGTAAATAGAGATAATTTAATTATCATTGCATTCAGTTTATTAATTAATATCTTAACTGCCTCCAGAACTAATTCTCAATACCCCACCAAGTAAAGGTTTATTCTCAGTCTTGGGGACAAGTATTCTTGTAAGAAGTTTTTCTACCCATAACAGTCCTCAAACATGGACCAATTGTTCATATGTGAAAATTTTATTCCCTAAAGATCATAGTCATTAAAAAAAATACCCACAAATCAACCAATAAATAAGCCCAACTTTTACTCAATCCTTTTAATATAAATGGACTGTGTTTTCATTAAGTCTGTTGGCATAATTTTTTTTCTCTACCATACTGTTGATTACTCATATTTAAGGTATTTTATTGATGTTTACTTATTTCTTTATATGTATTCCAAACATGTATTCATTTAGGAATACTCTACTGCTCAACATTAATACAATAATTATCATCATCAAAATGAGAAATTGTTACAGTTGCTACAGTTTATAAATCATGCAGGAAAAGCTTAGTAAGTGAATTTTTCTTTTTAAAACATTAATAATTCTATTTCACATGTCCTCTCAATAGTATAACTTATCTATAAACATTCCTATAGGATGATTTAGGTAATTGAAAAAAAATAGCCTCATCTATTGACAATCCACAGAATAAGGCACCAAAACAGTAACACTAAGAAAATGCATTCTAATTTTGTAGAGAATGCCATCAGAAAGAGATGAATACTTGTTCTACTAGATATGAGTCAAGAAAAAAAACTGTTCCTTAAGTTTTATAGTAACTCAAGGTCCTTTCAACAGTCAAGGAAATAATTAATAAAGGTCAGCAGGCAGTAAGGAATGACTAGAAATTCTTGCATCTTATGAAGGGTTTCAAAACCAACACTGCAGCCACTGGTTACAATAGCATGGAAAGAGGCTAAATGATACTACAGAACTTTGTAGGCGGGGAAAAAAAGACATACTTAAGCTTCATACTAGGCAGTTATCACCACAGGAACCATATTGCTAAGAACCAGACAGTGGTGATTGGATCAATAAACACATAATAGTATAAGAAACACAGTGTTGATTTAATCAGCTTGTCATGGAGCCCTAGTAGCCTAGGGGATAAGGAGTTGCACTGACAGCTCAAGGACAAGTGGTTCAAATCCACCAGCTGCTCCAAGGAAGAAAGACAGGAAATATCCTCCTGTGCAATTTATAGCCTCTGAACATCTGCTGGAGCGTCAGCCATAAGTCGGATTCCACTTAGTTGTCCATAACAACAATAACAACAACAACAGTAGCAGTATAAACTCTGTTCCAGATACAAAATCGCTAAAAATAACTTAAAATTAGTGATCGATATCCTTTTGTATTTTTTTTTACTTTAAATCCGTTTTAATGTTAACTGTTTTTCTGAGAAACATCTTTTACTCTGTAATATTTAGATTAAGACAATTAAAAAGAAATATGGAATAAATCAAACACTATAAAATTTTGCATCAAACTTCCTAGTTTGAGTTCTAATTCCTGTATCATTTAAAACCAAACCTGACTTACTGCTATCAAACTCATTCAGCCTCATAAAGATCATCAGGTTCCCAAGGCTGTAAATATTTATGGGAGGAGACCACATAGCGTTCTCTCTAGCAGCAACTGGTGGGTTTGAACTACTGACCTTTCTATGGTTCTGTGCAGTTGAGTCAAAAGCAACTCACAGCAGACCCTCCAGTGGGTTGCAGTAAATCGGATGGGAGGAGATTGCCGATCCTTTTCTCACAGAACAGCTGGTGGATTCAAACCACCAGTGTGCATTTGGGGCTTCAGCACAGCTTCATACCACTAGGTCACCCCAGCTCCCTGACCTTTCTGTTAGCAGTCCAATATGCAATGTATTATTTTACTAGCTATCCTTATCAGGTTTTACAGAAATTATTTAAGCAGTCTGAACTTTTGTCTGCTCAACTTTGGCAATAAAGGTCAATTTGAAGGGCAATTTTAGTTTAAAAAGATAGTGTTTGTGAAAATAAGCTACAAAATTAATTGCTCAAAGGATGGCACATACTACTGTTACTGACACACCACTACAAACCTGTTATTTCAGTTCTCAGGATGCCAATCTTGGGTTTTTTAATTTTTTTTTTGAGATACAGAGAAGATTATGAATTAAAAACCTGATCCATAAGGAAATCTTGCTTAAATCTTAAAAACAAAAACTAAAAACCCAGACTTGGTTTACAGAATCATAAGACAGCACTTTTTAACTAGCTTTATGGCCTGTTGACATCAAGGGAAGACTCAATGAAGTACTCTAAGACAGACTGCAACTTTTAGAAAAAATGCAGTTTTACAACAATGAAATAAATTTTAATAGCTTCTCAATATACACTTAGTAAAAGCAGGTTTATATTATCATAAAGGACCCTTTAATAATGAGAAAAAAGAAACAATAAAATGGGGTAAACAAACTGCAATGAATAACTAGCAAGATTCTTGTGTTTTAACCCAATACTTTGAAGGGATGAAAATTATGCAGAAACAAAATAGGGAAAAGAAGGTTAAGAAAGAAAAGACAGAAACTTCTGTTCATAAGTTACTTTGAGGAAACTACTCAAGAAGGTGTTTTTTGTTTTTTTTAAAATATTAACATCAGTGTTTATTTGTAAAGCCAGTTATATAGTTGTAATATGTAGAGAACAACTCTAGAGAATTCTGTTACTATTCTCTGAAGACAGCACAGGTATGCCACATGCTAAAGCAATATTCCAAAAAGGCCTGACCTATCTGCTTATGTTGCTTTTTATTGCAGTAAGGGAAGTTAAAACAAAATCCCCACTCAGAAATGAAGAGATGAAACGCCAAGTACAAATGATAAAAATGTACACATACTTTTCTAATACAACTCTAGTTCTAAAATTAGAAGGTAGTGTTGTAGCTAACAGCATTTCTACTAACAAAGCACAAAGAAGTCACATTTGAAAATATTTTCGAGAAATATTTTATTGGTAATGCACTCCAAAACATAGAGAAAGCACAAACCCACAATCGTCTTACCATATGCGTGTTGGTAGTCATTATCTGAGGGTGGGAAGAGAAGCAAGTAGCAAAAAGTAAAAAAAGCAAGATACAAATAAAACAAACCCCCAGAAATTATGCAAGCAATCATAGAGACGAATGTCTACAAAAGAGCTATGAATCTAGTTACTGCAAAAAAACCCACAAAACCCAGATAATTAAGTATATATGAAAAAGTATTAAAATGCATTAAATATGAAATTGTATCATCTTAAAAAGTAATGCTTAAATAATCATACTGAATCATTAAGTAAAGAATTAATAGCAACTCTTAAGAAATGTGTCTGAAATCCTTAAACATATTTCCTTATAATTAGCATAAGATTATTTACTGACATTGAGAATTAATATAATGTGTTCTTTAAAGCAATTTAATAAATACACAAATATCTTTCTTCCTACAACACCAATATCCAAGAGGAAGCTTTATAGTCTGCACTGAATTAGTAGTACTAACAAAATGATCATACAGGATTAGGGAGGTTTATTCTAAAGAGCTAAGTCAACAAGATCAGGTTAAATACTAACCTGTCCATTGCTGGTTACTGTTGTATTTTCGAACATGAAATAAGCACCAAAGAAAAATACCAGAGCATCAAATACTCCTAAGAATGTCCAATAAATGAACACTCGCCAGCGGAGTAGTGCATTCTTGGCAATGTCTCTATGAAGAGAGAAATTAAGAAAATGACATTCTCATTATTAAATGACAGATTTTCTAATTTCATTAATTTATATAATAACCACAGCCATTCGTCATTATGCTTTATAGTTCTTATCTTTTCTAGGAGAAAGTGTGTAAATCATTGGAAAGTGTTCATCATAGGTTAACCTATATGTGCAGCTAGTTTGCATCACAAGGATTAATAACCTTCATAGACAAATTCAGTAATAGTGGGAATTTGTGCTCTTTTGAGTGAAAAAAAACCCCAAAACACATCACAGGTTTTTCTCTATAGCTATGAAATGAGTTATGAGGCAGCACATAATCCAGTATTTCTTCATATTTAAGAAAATTGACACCTTCAATCATTTACCAAATATATCCACATTCCTGACTTAATCCTCTGTTGATTCCAGGTGACATTATTAATTTTGTGAATAGCATTCATATGGAATGCCATTAAATCTGTACTCAAATCACATAGATCCAAGGTCCTTCTGATTGTTCTGCACAATTAGATACTACCTTCAATTCCATACCTGTTTACAGAAAGTACTTGAAACAGCTCATTCTTTAATGCTGTTATACTTAAACTAGAGAATCAAACCACAAACAAGTAGCAAATTATGACAACGTTTTGACACTGTCCCACATACGATAAAATGGAAACAAATAATCAACAGTAAGTGTGAGCTCCCTTGCAACAAAAGTAAAATTTTTCAATTTAGCAATTTACTATACATATAAATGTTCCTGCGTAATTTTTGTTTGAATAGTTTATCACTCTGATTAGCCTCTAATATATAGGTAAACAGATATAGTTCATAATTTTGCTTCTGTGAGTAATAAACTTAGAACATAATGTACATGCTTGGCATTTAGTAACCAATGTTGTTGTTGATTGCCATCGAGTTGAGCACAAGTCTTGGCAACCTTACGAACAAAAGACCTGAAGCTTTTCTATAACTTAACTATCATTTATAGAGTTTCCAGAGGCATGCTGTTTAGGAAGTGAATGCCACTAATATTAGATGAAAAATTTCATGTTTGCTAAATAATTTATGGTATAATTTAGGCTAGATTATAATAATTAATTATAGATAGTTACAGAATTCCCTCTGAATAAAGGTCTATAAAAGCAGACATTCTCATTTTCTAACTTTTATTACTTTTTTATATATTTATGATAAACACAGACAAATTTTATCTTTTGTTGTAATCCTTAAATGGTAACTCAGAAGACAGTTAAACCAACACAGTGGGTTTCTAACAAAAACTCAAATAAATGAAGTATGTTTGACTAATCTGACCTCTAAGAAGTGAAACTTTGTTTGACTTGTGGTGGATACTTGGGAGAAAGACCTTGAAATTTAATTCATTTTTTAAAAAATTTTATTTATTAATTTTAATGAACATTTACAGAGATTTTGTATTTTCATTCATTCATTGTTCGCTCTTCTCTTTGAAAAGCAAAAAAAATCTAATTCTATTAAGATTAAAGCCTAGAAAACTTTAGATGATAATTTTACTCTAACACATGACTTTTCTACGAATCAAAACAATTCAACAAAATTTAAAAAAAAAACATTTAAAAAACCTACACGTGAAAAATTTTACACACAAATACAAGTAATACTGAGAAAAAATGAGTAAGATCAATGTATGTTATCAATGTTAATAATCTGACTAATAATGAAGTAGAAATTAATAAAGTTTTTTCTAAAAACAAAGGGAAAACAAAGTATTCCTCTATTATTTTTTACAACTGGGGTAATTGGGATGGGTGGTCAGAGGCCATGTGATTAGCACAGGATAGAGCAGGGTTTAGGGCTGTTGTACATGGGGTCGCTATGAGTCGCAAGCGACTCGATGGCACATAACAACAACAACAACATGCCAAAGATGGATGATTTTAATCTGCAGCCCTCGCCTGGTTTTGGTCAAACATTCTTCTAAGTGGTATAGCACTGGTCTGTCGATTTGCTCTACAGAGGTAACCTGTGGTTGCTGTGATGCTAACACTGTGACACTGATGTGTCAAATGTGATAATTGTTACCCATGGTGGACAGTGTTTGGTGGAGCTTCCCAATTAAAATAAGCTTGGAAGCAGGAGTGGCATCCGCTTCTGAAATAGCTTGTCTCCGGAAACTATGAATGTGGAGAAACGATGAAAGATATACAAGTGTAAGTGCTCAAGTCTTGCATTGATAGGGATGCTATGAGTCGTCTATAAATCAATGGCACTTTACAACATATGCACAAGTAAAATTATCTAAAAACTCTAATTTTAAACAAAAGAATAACACACAGCCAAGACCAGAGATCTCAGGGTATAGTTCTGATAGCAGAAAAGTATTTTATTATTGAAAAAAGAGCTATTTAGAGGGGAGCAGGTGGGTAGGGAGAAAAGTGCAACAATGAATGACTGGAAACCCTAAGTCTCTGTAAACTTTCATTAAAATTAAAACAAACAAACAAACAAACAAAAATCCCCAAAAACAAAAACAAAATATTTAAACATTGGGAAAAAAGAGCTACTTAGCAGAAATAAGCACACTGAGACGAACTCTATTAATTTTTTTTTTTATTTTCCTTTTGAATAAAGTATTTTTTAAAAATAGTTTTAAAGGGAGCTCTGGTGGCCTAGTGGCAAGAAGCTGCACTGCAATCCCAGAGGAGCACGGTTCGAATCTACCAGATGCTCTGCCGGGAAAGGAGGGACAATCTCCTCCTGTACCAGTCAGATCTGATTTGACGGTACACATACACACACACACACACACAAATAATAATAAAAAAAAATAGTTTTTAAAGTGATCATTTAGGCAATGAATTTACAGGAGTCATGGGGACAGAAAGTAGTGGGATTTTTTTTAACTATCCAAAACATGGTAAAATACAAACTGGCTTAATATGTATGTTCCAAATATAACTAACCTTTAAAATATGTTTATCTAAATTACATTGCTTTCTATTTTTTATAGAACCAAGTAACAGCTGATTATATATATGTATATATAAAATGCAGATGCATTTATTTGAAAGAATCATTAATTACATTATATCTAATTATTCTATGTTCTAAAGAGAATTATAGTTTTGAGCCACGGTACCTGTACAGTGAGGGGTCTCTCTTGAGCATATCTATACTGACATGCTGTTCCATTAGACTGTACAAGAGAATTGGAAGGGAAGTAAAACTGATATTGTACAGTGTAAGATACGCAGTATCATATAAAGTCTGTAAAAAGAAAAAAAACCACTCTATTAAACTAAAAATATTGAGCTTTTATAGACATTTTGGATATATTTTGTTTAAAAAGATTATTTTTCTTTTAATTGGCAAAGAATCAAAGACGTGACTACTCTAAAATTCATAAAGAATCATCTTTCTCTTGATACAGATTGATCAGGACATTTTCAGAAGTTCTATTACATACATTCACTCACTAAGTTGTGTTATTATTTATTACTTAACCAGCTCAACAAACTGAAGCTGACTCACAGCTGACCCTACAGTGGGTTAGGAGACTGCCTCGCAAGGAGGAGGAGCAGGACCAAGGGGTGAGCTGCAACAAAGTGGAATGGTGGTGGGACTGCTTGGAGATGCTCCGGGAAAACACTTTGGTCACGCTTGCCAACATCTCGGGACAGTTAGACCTCTCCCCATACCCTGAGAGCATCTGCCTGCCTGTCCTGGACGGACTCCTACACTGGGCAGTCTGCCCTTCTGCTGAAGCCCAGGATCCTTTCTCCACCCTGGGCCCCAATGCCGTCCTCTCCCCTCAGAGACTGGTCTTAGAAACCCTCAGTAAACTCAGCATCCAGGACAACAACGTGGACCTAATCTTGGCCACTCCCCCCTTCAGCCGCCTGGAGAAGTTGTATAGCA